ACCACAGGACACACTCTTGGAAACCATGCCCAGGAGCTGCACATCATGCTGCATGGAACCACAGGGCACACCCTTGGAAACCATGCTTCTCTTCTGCAGGCTGCTGCCCAGGAGCTGCTCGTGCTGCACGGGACCACAGGACACACTCTTGGAAACCATGCCCAGGAGCTGCACATCATGCTGCATGGAACCACAGGGCACACCCTTGGAAACCATGCTTCTCTTCTGCGGGCTGCTGCCCAGGAGCTGCTCGGGCTGCACGGGACCACACTGGGCACCTGGAGGGTGAGTCAGGCTCTTCTGCCAGCAGCACAGGGGGGTAGGCACGCTGTGATTCTTACTGTCTTCCTTCCTTACAAGCTTGTCATCATCGTGGGACTGGCATTTTGTTGGCAGGGGAGAGATGTGGTGGTCAGGCTCACTCCCTATTCTCTTTAGGACAAGATGGAAGGTGGGAGGATCTGCAGGTGCTGTGGCAATATCAGGCTGTATGAGCTGAGCATTGTGTTTATCGTTGTCCACCCAGTGTAACTGATGTTTTAAAATCAAGTAAGTTGCCATGATGCTATTAAATTTTTTCTCTTGTAAGGAGTCTCTAATGTCCTTGGGGTTATAGCCCATGCCCCACATGGCTGCCACAATCCTGGGGTTGGGCTTGTTGGGGTGTGTTTCTAGGGACTGGGTTAGTTTTAAAAGCTCCTCACTGCCCTTGAGCCACTGATGTTGCATAATGTCACATACCTTGGGCCTCTGCCCAGGGTCAATGGTGAACAGCTTCACAATGAGGTTGGCAATGTGTGCTGGGACCTTTGGTGGAATGTAGTAGTGGGGCTCCTGCATCTCTTCCTTCATCTTTTCGTATGTTGTTGCCTTGAATGGGTAGTGCTTTGTCACCATGATGTACAGTACCACTCCCATGCTCCAGATATCAAGTGCCCTGGGATCATAGCCTTGGCTGCTAAAAAGCTCTGGAGCACAGTATGGAAGGGTGCCACAGAACACTGTCGACTTCTGCTCAGTGGTAACGTGGATGGCCAGGCCAAAGTCACACAGTCTGATGTTTCTATTTGCATCCATCAGAATGTTTTCTGGCTTGATGTCCCTGTGTGCAATGCTGTTCTCATGGCAGTAGTTAACTGCACACACCATCTGTGTGAAGATGTGCCGGGCTTCTCCTTCTCTCATGTAGTCCACTTCTAAGATACGGCCAGCCAGATCACCCCCAGAGGCATACTCCAGAACCATGTAGATGTGTTCAGAGGTTTCCATGACATGGAACAATTTGATTATATTAGGGTGGTCCAGGAATTTCATGATCTCTAGCTCATTTTCAATCAGATAAGCATTCTTTTTATCCTTTTCCAAAGTCTTCAGAGCAACCTGCACTTGTGTGTGGAGGTGAAGTGCCAGCTTCACCTGAGCAAAGTTTCCTGTGCCGAGGGTCTTGAGGATCTTGTAATGATCCATGAGGACCTCCTCTTCAGAGGAGTTGGCCTGCAGATCCTGCTGCATTGTCACCTCCTCACTCCTGATTCTATGTATTGTCTATCACAGTACCAACTCACGATACTAAATTTAAAAAAAAAAATCAAAAGCAGATGTTACATTTTTGTTGTTACGTTAAAACACCATGGCTGATAGTGACATACAGTAAAGTCTACTTTGGCTTCCAGGGGGAGCATCCATAATGGCAGGTGAGGTGTGGCACAAGGGGGAAGAAGCAAGAAGCTAAGAGGAAATATCTTAGCCACACAGAAAGCCAAGTGGGTGGGGCTACAAAATGCTCAAAGCCCACCCAAGGGATGTACCCAAGCAAGGCTGGACCTCTTAAAGGTTCAATAACCTCCTCAAACAGTGCCATCAACTGGGGACTAAGTTTTCAAATATGTGAGCCTATGGAGGACCCTTTTTTAAAAAGTTCATTCTACTGCAAGGTCTAAGAGGGAAGTTCCTATCAGTAAATTCCTACATGAAACAATGAGAGATACAAATAATCTGATTAAAAATAACCTACAAAATTGGACAGCACATTCTTAAAACAAGTGATTAATAAATATTTTAAAAGTGTTTATCATCCTTAGACACCATGGAAATACAAATTTAAAACAACTTTGAAATTTCATCTTACTTCAATCAGAATGAGTATTATCAAGTAACAAATCAGTCCAAACACCAGCAAGGATGTAGGGGAAGAGGACTGTGGATGGGAGGATGAATGGATGCAGCCACTGTAGAAATCAGTTTGGAAAGACCTCAAAAACTAAATATAGAGCTCCTATATAACTCAAGGATACCACTTCTGGGCATATACCCAAAGGACTCCATGCCCTACGACAATTACTTGTACCTCCATGTTCATTGCTAAATGTCCAATGGATGGATGAAAAATGAAAATGTTCATATACTCAGTAGAATTTTATTTATTGGCAAAGGAATAAAAGAAATTATGAAATTTACAAGTGAATGAATGTGTTTATAAAATATCATCTTGAGGTAACCTAAGCTGGGAAAGACAAATGCCATGATAACTCCCTTCTATGCAAATTCCAGCTGTAAATTTTTAAAGTTATTTGTTTAACCCTGAATGCTGGTGATGGTCAGAGGGATAAAAAGGAACCATTAGATGGAGGGAGGCGAGAAAGAGGCCTTAAGGGAAAGGGGATGATAGCACATACCAGACATGAAGGTGGAAGAAGGGGGTACTAGGGGTGGAAGGAGCTAACCAAGATGGTTGGGAGAATGAGAACAAGCAGAGCGTGGGAACAGTAGTCAAAACTAAGGATATATGAAAAAAATACATGGAAACATGGTCATATAAGTTTATTTAAAACTACAATCTAAAAGGAAATTTCATGATAGTGTTCTCAATGAATGGCTGCAGCTCCTTTTAATAGTCTTAGGTTATTAAGCAACTATCCCAGTGTCAGATACTGTCAGCCAAAGAAACCCCAAAGACCCTCAAAACAATATAGGCCATTGCCACTGTTCTTGGTTGCTCACCAAAATTTGATGGTAAGATCCTATTACTGGAGACATCACTTGTTTTGGTCACAGAACATAGAGAAATCAAGTTAAAGATGAGCTGGAAGTTTTCTCCCTATGGGCTGGTCTTCACAGTGTCCAAAGATGCCGCCTTCACAGTGCCCAAAGATGCCGCCTTCACAGTGCTGAAAGATGCTATGCAGACTGCTGTGTGAGAAAAGTTACCAATAGTCTGACCTAGACGTGAATCCTAGGAGCTACAACAATGACTTATTGCTCGCTAGTGAAACTGTGGCTTAACTGTTGTAAGGAGACAACCACTTTCTGATTGGAGGGATTCTGTAAGCCTGGTCAAGAACCCTTGGTTGGAAAGGTCTTAGGCCCAGGGGGAAACCTACTACTATTGTTTTGATTTCATGTTGTCAAATGACCTTTTAAATATACACCAACCATCAGTGAAGCTCCCTACTGCCTCAGGCCATGGTTAGTGCAAACTGCTAAATGAGATGGTTCTATCACCCTCTCCAAGACTCTAGGAATGTGGTGGAAGACAGGATAAGAAGAATATGAGAGCCAGAGGGGGAGATGTGCGGCAAAAATATGCCTTCCGGACATGGCATGGCTTTCACACTCATGAACTCACTCCAGCCACGGTTATCCACACAAGACTGGGCTCCTCAACTCTTCATCATTGGAAGGGGACGGGCCTATGAGACTCCATGGTCTCCTGAGGGACTACTGGCAAGTACCATTGGTTAGGAGAGAATCATTTTCTTCACTGGTGTAGTCACTGTTAATATATCCTTGCTCAGGGGAACATTTCTCCATTGCTGATGGGAGTGCAAACTTGTCCTGCCACTATGGAAATCAATATGGCAGCTGCTCAAAAATCCTACACTTGCTAAACTATGTTCACAGCAGTGTTACTTATAATAGCCAGAAATTGGAAACAAACTAGATGTCCCTCAACCAAAGAATGAATAAAGAAAATGCAGTACCACAGAAACAACTGACCTGAACAAGGGGGGTTGCTCATGGACCCCAGACTGTTAGCTGAACCAGGAGGCCAGTGTGGAGGTCTGGTCAATCTGTGGGGCCTCTGGCAGTGGATCAGTATTTATCCCTAGCACATGAATGGACTTTGGGAAACCATTCCACATAGAGGGATACTCTCTCAGCCTCGACACACGGGGGAGGGCCTAGGCCCTGCTCCAAATAATATGACAGACTTTAAAGATTCCCCCATGGAAGGCCTCGCCCTCTCTAGGGAGCAGAAGGGGGATGGGATGGGGGTCATTGGGGGGTAGGGGAGGAGGGAAGGGAGAGGAAACTGGGATTGACATGTAAATGAAGCTTGTTTCTAATTTAAATTAAAAAAGGAAAAAAGAAATTTCAGTACACAACTGTTTAAAAAAATGCTTTCATGAAATTTGCTGGCAAATTCATGGAACTAGAAAAAAATCATCCTGAGTGAGGCAACACAGACCCAGAAAGACAAACATGGTATGTACTCATTCATACATGGATGCTAGCTGTAAAGAAAAGGATAACTATGAATCCATAGACACAGAAAGGCTAAGTAACAAAGATGGCCTAAGGTGGGGGTGCATGGATCTCCTTGGGAATAGGAAATAAAAGAATGGATCTCTCTGGGAATGGGAAACAGAAGAGATTTTTGTGGATGGACTGGGGGCAGGTGAGGATGGGAACAGGAGGTGTATCAAGAAATCCTGATTAGAGGTACCACTGACCATGCCTGTTTGGGCCTGGTCACAGGTACCACTGACTACACCCACTTGGGCATGATCAGAGTTACATAAAAAGGGTTTAAGAAGGAGAGAGGCACACATGCAGTTCTTTTTCACCTGGCTGAGCTGACTAGGAAGCATTTCAGGATCTGTCCTGCTCTGGTGCAAACCTGGTCACTGGCTCCCTTTCGGGGGTACATTTCCTCAATAAACTATCATTTATCAACCTATCTCTGACTCTACTTTGTAAACAGAAAAAAAATTATAAGCCTATTTCCTCGATGAGCATTGGTGTGAAAATCTTAAGTGAGAATACTCAGTATGTATGTCACACCAATTTCAGAAACACGTGAGAAGAGCTATAGGTCATGATGAAATGAGTTCATTTCAATTCAGGGATGGTTCCACATACTCAAACTGATAAATGATACAGCATATAAACAGAATCCAGGGTAAAGTCACATGCTCATCATAAAGAAGTGAAATGCCCATGATTTCCAGGAGGTGGAGATGATCGTGTTACACGTGACTAGCCAGTGCCACAAACAAGATATCTCTTGTTTTCTATTCTATGTAGTGTCTAGGGTGTAGGGTGCTGAGCTGAGAGAGTGGGTTAGAGAGAGGAGAGAGAGAGGAGAGGAGAGAGAAAGAAGAGGGGGAAGAGAGAAGAGAGAGAAGAGACGGTGTGTGTGTGTGTGTGTGTGAGAGAGAGAGAGAGAGAGAGAGAGAGAGAGAGAGAGAGAGAGAGAGAGAGAGAGAGTTAGGTATAAGGAAGAAAGCAATGGCCCATGTACTGGAGCTCCCACAAATTGCCAGTTTAAAATCCTGACCATAACAGTTCTTAGGCTCCCTTTCTAGCTAGCCAGTAGGTGCAATGACCAGTAACATAAAACCCAACAGAATGTAGATTTGACAAGCCACCAAATAATCAGAGTGAAGAATCCACGCCAATAATGTAATGGCAAACCACAAGAGGCAAGACTGTACCTGGGTGGTGTTGGATGAGAACAGGAAAGCACCTCTCCCAGATTTGTGGTTTTGCACACTGCCTCCACACCGGTGTCCTTGAACTGAAAGCTCTGCCTTCAATATAACAAGATGGACACCAACTGTCTCACCTACCTAACCCAAACTTCCAACTGTAGTCCTGATCCATGACCTAATTGGTCACATGTTCAGAACCTAGCCAATCAGGCTGGCCGAGCAGGGAGCACACTTCTGATTGGTAAGGTTGAAGTCATGTGACCTATTCCTGGTTTGTGGTAAGGAGGCTCTAGCCGATAGACTCCAAGTCCTGTGAGGACCGGGTGACAACTCGACCTTTTTATTTGCTATGACTTGTCTCCCAGGATGTGCCTGCTCAAGCCCTCCCCCGCCCCTCCCCTAATGGCTTCTAACCACAGAACTCACAGCGGCACTTCATCCCTCCCCCATTCCCATCTCTAAAACCCTGGATTCAGGGATCAACAGGACTGAAGATACGTCTTCAAGGAGCTGATGGTGTATAAGGAATCCGAGTGTGTACTGTTTCTGCCCCAGACCCTTTTTCCTCCTGAATGACTGTACCCAGTCTATGTTAAAACCCATTCTTTAGTGAATTCTAAATTTACATTATAAAAAGTCATGGCTTACAGTCTATGTTAAAACCCATTCCTTAGTGAATTCTAAATTTACATTATAAAAAGTCATGGCTTACAGCACCTCTTTGTGGTGTCCAAAATTTTAAAAAATCCAAGAATTTTGCTCTTTCTGAGTCTTTTTCCATTCTCTGCACTGAGTATGTGATGTGATGGGTCGCTCTTAAACAGACATTTCTATTTCTCAGACTTGGAAAGCTTCCCCTGAACGTCCCATATACTGTTTCTCCATTAATCTACCTGAAAATACTTGCATCGTCTTTTTAAATCAGTCTTCGATTTCTTGTTACACTCCATAGATGTCCTCAGTTTTGCCTCCAGATCTCCATTGGCGATTTTACTCCTTTATATTTTCTTATTACATATTATCATTTGAATATTCCTCTTAAAGTGTCCCATTATTGCTTAATGGATGCATAATATTCTCTCCTCTCAGAGGACTTTGAAGAGAGGTTATGTAGCAGGACACTATGAGAACAGGTAACTTGGTGCAGAGAGAAGAAACAAAGAAACACTGACAGCCACAATCCCTGAGTCACAACTCAAGTTCCACAAAGATGCCCAGTGTGTCAAAAACTATGAACCTGATGGACTCAAGTAGACATCTTCCAGGAGACAGAGAAATTCTGGGGCTTGGAGGGGGAAGACACAAAACATGGAGGAAGCTCTGACTGCTTCAGCAGGAGGACTTGGAAGGAGGGAGCAGGGAAACCTAGGAGCGGGAGGCTGGGGGGGGCCTGTGGCTCCCTCCCTCCTGCCAGGAGCCCTTTGTGATGAGGAGGCCACAGCTGTGTGATGTGGGCCTGAGCCCTCCTGACAAGCCTCAGGCTGCACTCCCAGGACTCAGTGGCTTGAAAGCTACAGTGCCAGTCAGAAGATGGAGACTGCTCTCCTCCAGCTGAGAAGCATTCCATGGATGAAACCCAGCTCCATTTTTATGCACATAGACTGGATCTTTTATGTTGTGTGTGGAGTGGGGCTCTTCCTCCTACTAATCCTCCTCCTGAAGACTTACCCAGTGTCACCATCACCTGGGAGTGGAGAGAACACCCCGAAGGTGAGGAAAGCCTTAGATGGAGCACAATGGAGTGTGTTCAGTCTGCTGTTCCCTGCTGTTACTTTCCCATTTGCTAGGCAAAGAGAGAGACAGGTGAGAGGAAATCTCCAGAAAGAACAGCATCTCCTCCACAGGGGCTGAAAGTAGGGCAGAGGGGACAGTGGCCTTGAGGTGTGTGCAAGCTCTCAGATCCTCTGTGTGGTATAGCAGAGCACCACTAAAGAAGACAATGATTCTGTGGACAGACTGCATTTCTGAGATGGGGGGGATCTCTTGGACAGGACAGGCTCTGAGAAAGGAGTCATCTGCCCTCTGCTCAGCCACAGGCTTTTGTTTCTGTTGAGCTGTTGGAGGGAGAGTGATGAGACCAAAGGACTTGAGTCACCTCTGGTCTGAGGAAGCAGATCTTACCTGACAGCCAGAGGCGGCAGCAGAGCTCAGCCTTGGGTGGGATCCTGTCTGAGGAACACTGACTGAGGACATCCCTGTAAGAGTGGCATAGACAGCCCTGCTAGTGTTTTCCAAAATGAAATGTGTTTATGCATAGAACAACTGAGTCAAAGACGGAAGAGAGAAAGCTCTCTGGGAAATGTGGATTTCGTGTCATCCGTGAGCACAGAGGGCAGGCAGCTTGTCCACTAGAGAGAGGAAGAATGAGCACAGCTCATGTTTGTCTTTCCTCACTGTCAGGTGATGAGGAGAGGAGAGAGCAAGACCAGGAAGATAGATGCTTCTGCAAAAGGTAGGCTTCTGATTTCCTCCGGAGAGGCAAATCCATCTGCCCTGCCCCTCAGTGATGAGAGCCATGATGACAGCCACACTTGTGAGGGTTCAGGATGCAGAGCACAATAAGGAAGAGGAGGCTGCTGGGAAGGAAATCAGGGAAATCCCCAGGTTCTGTGATGGGCTGAAGCTGTGCTTGGCCTGGAGTGGGGGGCTGCCCATGGGGGTGTGGTTCAAGTAGAATGATGCAATTCCCTCAGGCCCACTCCTCTCTCAGATGACGGATCCTGTGTCCCTCACAGTGTTGTGTGCCATGACAGGGGTTGAGAGAGGAGCGAGAAAAGTGTAAATGAAGAGATATGGTCCCTCCATGCCACGTGCTCATTTTCAGTGTTCTGTGTGCTTGCACTCTGGTGTGTGGGTATGAGAGTTCTAGGACGGGTGGACTTTAAGAGAGGTGCCTCACTCTCCTGTGAGATCTCAGTCCTCGTGATTACCATACAAAACTATTTCCAGGTTGTAGAGATGGCAGAGAGAATGTGGAAGATACCCAGAATGCATCACAACCTGTGAAAACGTAAGAAATCTCTGTCTTGTAGAATTACTCATACCAGGAGATCTTTGTACTGGAGATTCTATACAGGGTGGGATTGGGATACAGTCCTGTTGGATAAAGAATATGGGAGGTGGAGGCCTTGAAGGGTCCATGGGACACAGGTGTCATATTTATACAGACTGATGGGCCTCTTGATCCTCTGCTTGGGACTGATGGTTTTGCCTCCTGTCTTCTGCAGCCCCAGCAAGCATCCTTTACTGGACTCCACACCACAAGCCTTTTGGAACTCTAATGAGAAACTGGATCAGCTTCCTCTCCCTCAGCTGCTGTCTTACCTCAAGTTCTTGGAGGATCTTATGCAGCAGAAATTTAGCAGGATTTCCTGGGGCATGTCCACCATGCTCTCTGAGTCAGTGGTGGCTACTGCCTGGGTCTCCAAGAGACCCTGCTCTAAAACCGTGAGGTTCAGCGATTCTTGTGGCCCTTTCCCAGATCTACCCATGGCTCAAGGACCTTCCAAGATTTCTCAGGCCCAGCCATTGCCCCACCAACTTTTGAAACCAAGATTGGCATGTATGACAGAGGCTCAGACACTGAACAACCTCCCAAGCTCTACACCAAACCAATTACTTTCTTCATCTACAAGTAGAGCCCATGTAAAAGCAGGTTCTACCAATAGAACAGAGATACAGGCATCCCTCCTGACTGAAAACCAGCCCTGGCAGCAGGATCTGGAGTGGAAAGACACCATAGTTTCTAATATCCAAACATGCCAAACAGACATTAGCCAGCCTACTCACAACTTCCCTGGGGACACCCTGCCCACTGAACCAATCAGCTCAGCCTCCATCCTTTCTGGACATCCTCAGTTCCTCCAGCACCATGAGGAGTCACGGAGTGAATACAGGGTGACTGAGGTGAGAGAACAACATGGCTCCCCATCCAGGTTCCTCCCATCCCAGGAACTGACACAGCTGCAGGGACATTTCCCAGCAAACAGTCCTTTCCAGCCCAAGGACAAACCTGACCTCCCCCAGCCTGCCCAGCCTTCCATCAACTCCAAAAGCCACAAGTTGATGGGGTCTGTGCCCTCGGGGATGCCCTTAAAGGAGGGCCCAGGAAAACACGACCCCATCAAGGAGGACCTCGGTTTTAAGGCCAAAGACTTGCCTTGCACTTCAAGCAGCCGCCCTGGGAAGGGCTTGAAACCCAGAAACCCTGCACTGAGGACAGACCAGTGGTTCAATGTGAACACCACCCAGGACCTTTCCTTCCTTGACCCTAAAATCCAAAGGAAGCTGGAATCAAACATCATGCAGCTTCATGTGAAACGCAGGTGTAGACCACATCTCTACACTCTTACGGCGAGAGATCTCACCCCACCGGGGGTTCCAGCCTCACCACTTCCCCTGATCGTATATCCATCCTCACCCACCTGTGGTTCTAAGGCCGAGTGCTATTCCAAAGCTGCCATGATCCTGGAAAAATTGCATCACCGAGATCCAGGAGGGTCAAGGGTAGAAACTGTGCCAGCTGCCAGGCTGCAGAGTCCTCTGTTTGCACACTCACCTTCAGAGGTTCAGGAGATGCAAAGAGCCACTCCACCAGCTGCCAGTTATGGGCCCTCCAAGGCCCATCCAGTTACACTGCACAGCTACCTGAGCACTGAGACCCAGGCTTTCTGCTTCCAGGCAAGAACCCAGCCAAGCAGGACTGTCCGAGGGACTGGAAGAGGCATCCTGCACACAAGTACCAGCCCAAGAATGCCCACACATGCACCATGGAACAGGTTTGAGAATGTGGTCTTAGGACATCCCTGCTGGAATGTGACAATGCTGGGCCCTCAAGAAAGGGTCCCACCTTCAGTGGCCAAACAAACCAATAGATCAGAGGAGAAAGAAGAGAGACCTCCTGCCTGGAAAGTGAGTTTGGGATCCATGGAGATTCCCAATGGCCAAGCCATCAATATCCATCTCACGGACTTTGAGTCTACAGAGGCCAATAGAAGCTCAGGCCAGTTCCAAACACCTACTCTACAGCACTCAGGAGTCTCAGCTCTAAAAACACAAGTATGTAGTGAGGTTGACTTCACATCAAGTAAGCAGCCACAGGTCTGGCTTGTGGACCACTGTCCAGACATCCCCAGTTCAGTAAGATTGCCTTCAGAGCACCTGCTTCCTAGCTTCCAGCATAGACCCAAAATACTCAAGACCTCCCAGGGCCTAGATGACGTCTTTGTGAGGAGAGATCAGATCCAGAAGACCCAGGACTTCAGAGTTCCCAAAGACAGCATTCAAGCAAAGAATCACAGGGTGTTTCATCCCAGTGACGAGAGGAAGGAGTTTGTGGGATCTAGAGCCACATGCCAGGAAGAAAGGTCAGGGAGCAGGAGGCCCTCTACCCTGAGCTCCACCCTCTTCAAGGATGCAGCCATGACTGAGTGTCAGTCCTCCCTTGACATGCCAGGAAAAAGTCAGGATCCTCTGGATAGATATCTGAAGAAAATCATAAGGCATGTTCTACACTATCTCAGCCTCAACCCAAAAGACAAGGGGGTGGAGGACCTCCTGAAGAATGAACGCTCCCCACCAGCTAATGTGACGACCCAGGAGTCAGTCACAAGAGAAAAACTCATCTACAGTATGGCATCTGAAGTCCAATACCTCATGAATATTGTGGTACAGATCCTGGTGAAGTGGCTGGGCCTTAAAGTAGGGGACCTACCAGAGGCACAATGGTGTAAAGTGGAACCACTGACACCCCAAGTGGGTGACTCTCGCCACTCTTCTGCAGGTCTCTATGACTCAAAGAATAGAAGACCAACGAGAATCATGAGCTCTGGTGACACCAGCCCCAAGAGTCACAGCCATCCATTCACATACAAGGGAATCAGAGATAAACGTCAGTTGGTTGCCAGTGCCCATAGAGTCTGTGATCAGCATCAGAACAGAGGGAAGATGGGAATGGGCTATGGCCAAGTCCCCACTCCCCAGGGGAACAGCCGTCCGTGTAGGTACAGGGGAATTGCAGACAAGCCGCAGTCACATGCTGCCTCCCAGAGAGCCTATGCCTCAGATTCTATCATAATGAAGAGAGGAATGGGTTGCTGTCCACATTCCAGCACCAAGGGTCACAACCCTCTATTTATGCACAGAGATATCAGAGACACACAGCAATCAGGAATTGTCTATAGAGCCTCTAACTCGCATCAAAGTACAAAGAAAGGAGTGGGCTATGGCCACCTCATCAGGACCAAAGAGAACAACCATCCAGTCACATACTGGGGGACTAGAGACAAGGAGCAGTCACATGCTGCTGGCCAGAGAGCTGGTCACCCCAGATGCACCTCACCAGCATAGGCCAAGGAGCAAGAGGTCTTCCAAAAGCTAAGTCATCGCCCAGCCATTGTTTTCCCCATGCTTTCCTGGTAATAAAGGTTGTTTTGTTTTCCCGCAAAGAAAATCTTCTTCCTGCTGAAGCTCCTCCCCTGTTGCTAATGGCTCCTTCCCAGATAGGAGCCGCTTCCTAGTTCATGCTCCTGCCTTTCAGCACAGTGGTTTCTGTCTTGCAGCGATGGGGAGGGGTTGGTCAGCATTCCTTCTGTCTCCGTGCAGTCTCTGGAAGGGATGGGACAGGTGGGGACGGCACGGTCACCACGAGGGGTCACCCTCACCCGGTGCTATCACTGTGCAGTTCTCATTCCATCATTGCAGAGACCACAGAAGTATAGCGGTTTTCAGGATGACCCAGCCCTTGAAGACCCCACCCAGATCTGTGGGTGTTGTCTCTTCCTTACTTTGCTCCACCTTGACGTTTGTGTCACTGTGCAGGTTGGTCTACAAAGACACCAGGGAGCCAAGAACCTTCACACATCACAGTTTCAGCCCCAGTTCAGAGGGGAGAACCTCAACCTGACTTTCCAGGACAGGCATAGAGAACACCTATCCCAGGAGCCCCTACTCACTTTGATGTAGGCTGAGGAGGGGCTGTGCCTCCAGCACCTCTTACCTCAGCCTGGGTGACAGAACAGCGACACTGTCCACAGTCTGCCAGAATAGAACTTGTAGTGTGTGACACCTCAGTAGCCACTGAGGGTTGTGTCACACAGGCCTACCCAGTAACACAGGAAGTGCCTGCAGAGTAGCCACAAACATCTCATTGAATTCATTCAGTCTCCTCCCTGGAGACCGGCATCCACCCTGCCCATACCATCACCTGGGCCAAATCCAAACACCTAGACCCTCAGACATCATGGCCCCCAAGTGGGGTTCTCTACTTGGGCTAAAGCTCTAGAAAGCTTTTGCTAGGTGATGTGATTGCCTCTCACCCATCTTTAATAGAATGAAAAACAACAAATACTGCTCACATCTAATGAGAGACTATCTTGATTTTTTTTCAGTTTTAGGTGGCCTCCCCTCAAATGACTAGGTGACCTGTTTTTCTAGTTTCACCTTGTGCTAATCCTTGTCCTCACTGTGCTGCTATCTGGATACGCAGCTCATATGATATTGCACAATGCTGAGATGATGTAGAGACTGTCTAAGTCAGCTTGTAGATTGGTTCCTGGTGGAAGATTTCTATATCGATAACAGTTTGGAAATCGACATCTCTACTTTACATTCTCTCTGGGCTCAGAGGACACAAAAGACCCTGTCCACGTCCATTGTCTGGTGCAACTCAACCTCCAGTCTTTCTTCCCCATATTTCTCTCATCTTTGCACTCCTCTGCCAAGCTCCATTCTAAGCATCCATTTTTCGTCACCTCTGCTTCATCAGATCACATCTCTACTGTTTTCTCCGAGTATTTACTTTTAGTGTAAAACATACCAAAACACGTGGTATCCGTTTGCTACTGTGATGCTAACAACTGCATAAGCAGGGTGAAAATTGCAACGCGGGCTTCCCATCACAGCTTTATGCAGTGACTTTTCATGGGCTTCTTCACGGGAAAACCTACCCAGCCATACAATATCTGTTCATTGGCTCTCTGAAATCTTCGTGCAAACCTGCATGCCGTTCTTCTTCTTATATTTTGCAATCTGAAAATCCTATACCACGTAGACAGTGCCTGCCTTGATATGTGGCCAGCTCTAGGTGTGGTCTGCCCCCTGTCATCACACTCTAGGTGTCTCTGCACCTTAGTGGATGCAGTTTAAGATGATGCTTTACTCGGTAGCTTCTGTTAACCTTGGGATCCTCTTGGTGACAGTCTCAGTTTAGATGTGCTCACTTCAAATCAATTTACATTTTCTCTATTTAGAACCTTTTATACGTGGCATCTTGCCCTAACTGGACCATTCCTACAGTTCAAGCGTTTTATGTTTAGTGGGTTTTTTTTTTTTTTTTTGGTTTTTTGGTTTTTTGGTTTTTTTGAGACAGGGTTTCTCTGTGGCTTTGGAGGCTGTGTCCTGGAACTAGCTCTTGTAGACCAGGGTGGTCTCGAACTCACATATATCTGCCTGCTTCTGCCTCCCAAGTGCTGGGATTAAAGGCGTGCACCACCACCACCCAGCGTGTTTAGTGTTCTTATTCTCGTTTTTTAAAACACGTATTCTTTGAGAAGTTTGAACAATGTGTTTTGATCACAGTCACTCTTCATCCCTAATTCTTCCCAAATGTCTCCTCCTCAGTGTAACATTAATAAATGATCCAGAGACTGATATTGGGATTCAAACATCAAGCCAGCAATGATGAGGCTTCCAGGCCAGGAGCAGCTCGATTTCTTCGTGTTCTATGACTCATGTTTGTGGTGGTTTTTTTTGACTGGGTCTCTCTATGTAGCACTAGCTGGCCTAGAATGTCCTATAATATCAGGCCTCAAATTTATAGAGGTCTACCTGTCTCTGCATCCCAGATGCTGGGATAAAAGCATGAGTAACCATGCTTAAACAGCAATAGGGTATTGTCACGAAGTTTTGGAGGGCAGCCTAAACTATTTGGGGATTATGTACCCTCTCTTGACAACAACTCCAAAAGCAATAACCTGTTCCTGGCACTGGTTTTTATTTATTAGCCTCTGGTGTTAGCCTCTAGGAGAACCAGCTTTCAACAGAGGAGAGAGAGGAAGCAATGTATGAAAGGGTAAAGGAGAATAATGGATGTAAAGAAAAGTTTAAATTGGAGTCAGGGAGCAAAGGGCGTGGTAGAGGAAGGAGAGATAAAGTTCTTTCAGGAAAGTCGGGTGGAACCCTGCTGCTGCAGAAGCTTCCTAACACACACACACACACCTTCAGTGTTTTGTGTGAGACTGAACCCAAATAGGTTTGCCTGAGTGCATAGGGACCACCCTGACAGTGGCGCCATTCCGTGGACTTGATGTTCAAGACTTAAAGGGCACACGTGAGGAGAACACAGCATTCATCTCTCTCTCTGCTTCCTGATTGCAGATGCACACACCTGCCAGCATGCTCTCCATACCCTGACAGACAGTACCCCCACCCCAGACAGATCGTGAGCCCAAACCAGCCTCTCTTAAGTTCTCTTGTCAAGTGTGTTGGCAGTGTTCCACACACCAAGAATCTTGCACGGCCACTGGCACAGTCTCTAACAGTTCAAGCTCGCATCCCTAGGATGACTCAGGCCCCAAGTCCACTGAAGTTCCTGTTCAGGAGAGCTCAATGTTACCAAAGAGTTCTTTGTTTGTTCCAGCCCAAACTGCCACTATGGGCTCCTGCCCGCCTTTTCTCGGGGTGTTACTTGAGGAAGCTTGCCATTATGGATGCTCTTCCTGTTGTGAGATGCCCATCTTTTAGGATTCTGGAATCTTCTTCTCCTGTATTCTTCTTTCCTTTTGTCCTTTTGGCTTTTTTAACACAGGATCTCACCATGTGGCTCATGCTGGTCTCAGACTCAAGGTGTCCCTGTCCTAACCCTGGAGTGCTGGGTTTGCAGCCATATGGCACCATGCCCAGCTTGAGTTCCTACTTTAGTTGGCTGCTCTTAACATACCCGTTTGATTTTTTAAAGATATCTCAAATCTAATTGCTCAGAGACAACCTCTTATTTTTGTTCCAGAGTCCCCTCTCTCAGAAGTTAGAGCCATCATTCACACGTGACCACACACCATTGTTTTGTTTTGTTTGGGTTTGGTTTTTGACACACGACCCAGGTTGATCACAAACTTCACCTGTCACTGAGGATGAACTTGAATTTCTGACCCTTCTCCTCCACCTTCCTAGTTCTGGTCATGCATAATACCTGGGTCCTTGAACCGTTCCTTACGTCTGTCCCTCTTGTCACTATCTACTCTACTTACCAATGTTTCATCTCTCAACATACAGCAGAGTCTGGAGTCTTTTCCTTCTGCTTCTGTTGCCAGGATATCTTATGTCACTCCTCTCTTCCTGGCCCGTCACACTTCAAAACAATCCTTTCAAAGTCTAAGTGTGGTTCTGGCATTCTTCTGTTCAAAACTGCCCAGTGACTTGCTCCATTATTCAGGATAAAGCTGGGCTTCTCACTGAGGCCACCAAGAAGTGTCACAAGCGAGTTCTTGTTAGCCACTAGTCACATTTTTGTTCAGCCTTCAGTAGATATCTACAAGTGTCTTAGTCAGGGTGTCTATTGCTGTGAAGAGACACCATGACCTTGGCAACTCTTACACAGAAAAACATTTAATTAAAAACCTCAGCTCTCATCACTGCATCTCACTCACTGTCCTGACTCTGCCCTCCAAGGACCCCAGAGATGGAATGTGTGCCCCCACTCTCCCATTTTACATGTGAGGTTCTCACTGCCTGACAGATCTTCTGGATTTCAGCATTTCCTGAATTTAGGATGGAATTTCTTCTTTTCAGGTATCTACATGTTTCGTTGTCTACAGTAAATTCAGATATGAGTAACAGAAAGGTTTATGACCACCCAGTATGAAACTGGACTTCACTTGTCTTTATTCAACATCTGCCAATTATCTGTCTGTCTGTCTGTCTGTCTGTCTGTCTCCTACCATCTATGCATCTATCATCTTTCACCTGTCATCTATCTATTTATCTATCTATCTATCTATCTATCTATCTCCTATCAACTACGTGTCTATCATCTATCAATTATCTACCTCCTATCTATCTATCTATCTATCTATCTATCTATCTATCTATCTATCTATCATGATCAGTCATTTATTTACTTTGTCACTGATAATCTGCTTATTTAGTCTAATTAATTACTTAATCTAATTTTATCATCCATCACTTATCTACCTGTCTATTATGTATCTAATATCTGTATATATTGCCTATCAATTATCTATCATCTATCTATCTATCTATCTATCTACATACATTATCTTGTTTTGTTTTTGAGACAGGGATTCATTATGTAGTCTAAGACAGGCCTATAACTCGCTTTGGCCTTGAATTTA